TCGTCTGAAAAAACAACTTTCTTCCAGTTGTAATGCACATGATCTTGTGCCCATGACAAGCGGTTAATCTTTGCTTGTTCTGTTAGAAGAGGAACTTTTCTGGGAAGAGTAGCAACATAACCGAGGTGGAAAGCTCACGGCGAACAGTTCTCTCACTAACTTCGAGATTTTGGTATTTTTCAGCATCCGTTTCGGTGGCGTCCTATAGTGGTTACTCTTGGCGATCATTCCGAGTTGGCGCCGCTTTTCGGTAATAATTTTCGCGGACGACCTGACCGGTGAATTTCCGAAATTTTTTTTAATATGGTGACGTATCGTTGACGTGTACGTAATGGGACCCCAGTTCTATTCGAAATTTCTTTCGAAGTACGAATATTTTGCTTTAATAGGATCGAAGACATTTTGCAAGGTAAAGTAACAAAAAATACTGACGACGATCATTATTTTTTTTTATTTACTTTTATGGTTACTATCTATTTACGCGACTCAATGACAAATAAACATTATAAATGAACGTTATATGGTATTATGCCTGAATAAGTAATTCGAATATTCGCGCCATTACTTTCTCCGGGGACTGTATTTAATGATTCGTCAGATGTTCTTTGTGGAGCATGAGATCCTTCTCTGGATGAAACAGCTTGAAATAATTTTTGAATAAAGTTATAATCCATTATTGGTATTTGATCCAGCACCTCTCTATCCAATTTGTCCAATAAATAAAGTTCTAAAAGTTTTTGCTACCTCAAAAGTAATAGTGTTAATACGAGTCAATGCATCTTCTAGGTAGGGTTTCTATTCATAATACAAATTCTTATTCGAATTATTCGAATTATTCGTTTTATTTGTACTATTCGTTTATTTGTTTTGTTCGAATTATTTGTTTTATTTGTTTTATTTGTTTTATTTATTTGTTTATTCATTTTATTCTAATCATTCGCCGAATTGTTTTATTCGAATTATCGAATTATTCGTTATTTATTTTATTCAAATAAACTCAATGTAATTTGAATACCAAATTCATGACGAGAAACAAATAATTTGAATAAATCTTATTCGAATAATCAAACAATATTAATATAGTTGTGTATAGTGATTTAGTTTAGTTTGAACATTATTGTCTAAATTCTATAATAAATAACACTCGCAATATTTATTTGCCGTGAATAATTATGGCATTACAGTTTTACGGTTTATGACTTTAACGACATTAGAGTGTCATGCCGAATTTATTTACAGTGCTGAATTGTTGTAATTCATTCATTCCATAATACTTTTTTAATTTTTTAATTTTTAAGGTTCTTGATTGGTGCGAGCATCATGTAAATGATCCACAGCCAACTAACGAAGATGATGATAGTCGTAAGAGAAATACCGAGATTGATGATTGGGATCAAAGATTTTTAAATGTGGATCAAGACATGCTCTTTGAAATTATTCTGGTAAATCATTGTTATTGTTATGTTATTATTAATTATTATTTCGTCGTTGCTATAATAATAATCATTGAATTTTTTAGGCTGCAAACTATTTAGATATTAAACCATTATTGTAAAGTATAGCTTTAATAAATATTATTATTATTTCAATTAGTCAGAAATTAATTATTTTTGTTTTTCTTTTTTTTTATATAGAGACATTGGTTGTAAAACCGTTGCAAATATGATTAAAGGAAAATCACCTGAAGAAATTAGAGCTACATTCAACATTGAGAATGACTTTACTCCAGAAGAAGAAGAACAAATTCGTAAAGAAAATGAATGGGCAGAAGATAGATAATATTATAATTAAAATCATCAATAAAATAATTCATTCTTACCATGATGTTATTATAAGCATCATAATTATTATGAAAACAATTTGAATTTTATGAATAATAATAAAGAAGTTCATTTATTAGAAGAATTTGAAGTAACAAAAAATTCAAAATTTGTCATTTTCTTTTCTTTTTATTATAATAATGAATTTAATTTTATTCTTAATAATCCTATTAATCTTATTTATATAAATTTACAAGATTACAGCAAATAAATAAATAACAATATAATATAAATATTATTAGAAAAATATATAGCAAAAAAAATTTATCATTATTTTTATTTTTTCATATTAATAAAATTTAACATTTTCGTAATACAACAATAAAGGATTTTCCACTTGAAATTTTGGTCTTGTTTAAATCTGCATATCTCCATAAAATCTTTATGTGTCAATATTTTATATTTTCACCCAATGATGACTTTGATGAAAAAAAAATTAATTGAAACAGTTCAAAGTTTATTGGAAAAAAAAATAAATTTAACATGGAATCATGGTTTGTTGAAATCTTGTTTGAACAACTGGTGCATTATCTCCTCCTACTTCACCGCCACTTTGTTGTAAAATCGAATTTGTTAACTTATAAAATCTGATATGATTAATAATTATAATAGTTTTGTTGGTATGAATTCTGATTGTGTCATATTATGGGCAAATGATAATTTGTTACGAAGTTTTCTTAGTAGACTGTTTTGTAGTACTGGTGACTTATAAGTTTGATTCCTTATTGAGTAGCTTATTGATTAACGGATCATTAATTGGTTATAAACTTCTTCAATATCTCCCTCATAGTCTATTATCACTACACCTTGTAATGGTTTCTCATTAATTGCATCATATCTAATTACATTATGAGCAAAATTAATTGAAAATTAGTCGAAAATCAAAAAATGATTTAATTTTATTATTGTATAGTTGCAAACCCACTTCACCAATCTTTTCAATATTTGTTAAACCATTATAAGGAATTCATTGAAGATAATAATCACTACCATACTTAGTTGCTTTAAATTGTGTACTTTTAATCGACTCATCTAATGTTTCATTGCCACTAGTCCATCCTTCAGTTAATAGCTTTGGATTGCATGATTGACACCATGAATAATAGGTATTATATCTATAGCAGGT